CCCGGCTATTTTTTGGTTGCAGCCGTCATTGTTGTTTGGCGGGTCCGGGCTGGGGATTCGAACCCACCACCTTAGATGTACGTGGCTGGCGCCTTAGCCGGTTGAGCTATAGGCGCCGAGCCTACACATAAATTTTAAAAAGTAATTGAGGTTGGTACCTGTGGCTCAACGGAGTAAGGTACCAGTCCCATATGCCAGAAATGGTGGGTTCAAACCCAGCCCTGGCCAAACCCCCCCAAAAAACTGCAAAAAAAAGTAATTGAATACAGCACCTGGAGTAGCTGTACTCAAAGGAGTAGGGTGCCGGTCCCATATGATAGAGGTGGCGGGTTCAAACCCAGCCCTGGCCAAAAAACAAAAAACAAAAAACTGGAAAAAAAAATTAATTGAATACAGCACCTGGAGTAGCCGTACTCAAAGGAGTAGGGTCCAGCCCCATATGCTGGAGGTGGCGGGTTTAAACTCAGCCCTGGCCAAAAACTGAAAAAACAAAAAAAAGTAATTGAATAAGGAAGAAGGCTGGGCTGTGCATACAAAGATTTTAGCTACACACCAAGCAATCACCAAGGGCCCCATGCATCTGTGTGCTCCTTTGTTCCTTTGGCTGATGGCTGTGTATACTACAGAGTGTGAGTCTGCACCCCCCCAAGCTCCCTTGGAGAGAGGAAGGCCCAGCACCCCTGAATCTTAACACACTGAATGTTCCAGCACCTGTGGAATTGGGGCTGGGTGGGGCTGTTGTGATTTTGTTGTTACAGGGCCCTGGGCAGCTGGGCCACCTGCACTGGAGGACCTTCACTAGTGTGTTTGTGTGCAGGCATTACTGATAGAGCAAATACAATATGGGGGTGCAGTGGGAAAGCAGGCAGGAAGAAAAAATAAAAGTAGCCTCTTCCTAGAAGGCAGTAATAACACCACAGCTTGCAGAGGGAGAGTGACTGACTGACATCAACAAAGTACTGTCTGAACCAAATGATGGAGGCCCAGCACTGAGGCCTGCAGACTCACGGCGGGAACCCAGCCACCCTGCTGTGCTCTGTGCAGAGCTCGGCACCCCAGGACCATTCCATTCTATCACCTGGTTCATCAACAACGACTTGTGTTTATCGAGGCATTTCACACACCAGGAACTAACCAAGTGCTTTGTGTTGAGTTCTTGTGACACAGCTTTATTGGGGAGGGAGGTATATTCATCCTCAATTTCAAGATGGGGAAACTGAAGCCATGAGAGTTGAGATAACTTGCCTAGCGTCACATGGGTGGCAGGTAATGGGACTAGGATGAGACCGGTTGTCCCCCTGCAGAGACAGATGCAGTTCTCACTCTTGCCTGTCCTGCCTGCCTGGCTAAATAGATGGTGCCTGGAGGCACGTGGCCCTCAGGATGGGGCAGTGGTGTTTGGAGAACTTCAGAACATGTGTTTACCTCTACCTTCACCTACACTTCCTAACACCCTCTCCTGACTGGTCCCCTCCCCCAGTATAGGTGATTGGTGTCCTATGCTGCACAACCTCCCCACATTGGGGCCCTGAGCCCTGTCCTACCCCTCTGAGACCCCATTTAGCTTTTTCTATCCCTGCCCTTCAACACACCACAAAATAAGATTTCAACTCTAGGTTGGTCTCAGCCAGTGGGTCAGAAAGCCCTATTTTATACTAAGTTGTGAATGACTAATGGTACCATTGAATACTCTGCTAGTAATTATTCCTTACTAACTCAAAATAAATCTCCAAATTAAAAACATGATGAGTGGGGCGGCGCCTGTGGCTCCATGAGTAGGGTGCTGGCCCCATATACTGAGGCTAGACTAGAAAGACACATATTGACCATCTCACTTACACAGGGTTGCCATAAAGTTC